ATTGACCAGAATCTATTTTCTATTTGTTTAATGTTCTTTATTTGTCTAGCAGTTTCACTTTATCTATAAATCCTCCATTAAATTTCAAATTTGATTTTACTTACCAGAAATTCCCACACACATACTGCCTATCACCTTTCCCATTCTACTTTTCCATCTCTTTTGGCTTACTTAATGCTACAACTGTGTAAATAAATTTGAAGTAAAACTAGTTGTTCCTGTAAGGATTTTTAATTAAAGATGGGCTTGTATGTATGAATAATTATGCGTTAAATTATAGGCTGTCGAATTCGGTCGAGCCCAATTAAAGTGATCTAATAAGGCTTCGATTTTGAGCTTTAATGTATCCAGTTAAAGTATGAGTTTACATATGTGTAGAGACCGGGCCTAAATCCTAATTCTATAATGGGCCGAATTAGGTCAAAGGACATCCCTATATATATAGGTTATGGTCCCCAGATCACATGCAACGTATTATTCATTCCCTATTGCATCTCATCATAGAGAGAAAAAAAGGAGACTGCGTGTAGATTTGGAAGACCATACCGCGAAATTCATATTGCATTAACCATGTCTGATTCAGGTATGCTTCCGCTTTAACTCTTGTATTTCTTGATGATTTAACATGAAAGATTTGGTAATTTAAAGAACTAAATTATCCAACAAGTGGCATCATAGTCTCTTCATGTTGAATCATTGATAATTGAATAATATAATTTGGTTCTTGCAATATATTTTGAAATTTTCAGATTTAACAATTTTTGGTTATATATTTTGTTAAATTTGAAAAAAATTTTGTGGCATAATTGTTGTTATTTTCGAAATTCGGATTAATGGTTGAAAAAATTCAGATTTTGGAATTTTGGATTTTTGGGTTCAGATTTCTGTACGTAAAAAAAAAAAAAAAAATTATTAAATCCAGCGTCTGCAGCGGGCTGCTGCCTCGTTGCAGCAGCGCCGGGCTGCTGCTTGTGCGGCGCCGGCCGCCTGCACCGCTAGGAGAAGAAAGAAGAAATTTTTTTTTTTAGGTTTTCTGATTTTTGGTTGAATTTGGGGGCGGGGGCCTCTTCTGTAAATTAGATGAATTGAGGTCCTCAGTTGCAATTAGGGTTAGGGTTATAAAATTAAGGTTTCAGTCCCTAACCTTTAAGTTATATTAAGTTTTGGGCCTTTAAGTTTCGGATTTAACTAGTATTATTTTCAGCCCCTTAATTATTAATAATTACAAATTAAACCCATAATATCATTTGTTCAACTTAAGTGCTTATTTGACTATTCTTTGACCCATTGTATTACCTGGCTTTGAGTAGAATTTTTTTTTAACTTTACCATAAATAAGTGGGGTGTAAATAAGCTCATTATTTTTATTGTTTGTGTTTCGCCTGATAATTTTACGTTTGCTTCCTTTTGTAATGTAAGAATATTTGGATATGTATTGAAACTTATTTTGAAATTTCTCGAATATTTTCATGTGTCAAACCAATACTTAAAAAACCATTTTTCATATCATGAAAGATTTATAACTCTAATAATAAGTTGATTCCACCCCCCGCCCCCCCAACTAAGTTTTGGTTGAAGAGAATTTTATGATTAGGGTTTTATATTTTTGATGAAGATAGTATTTTTTGTTATTGTTAGAATTTTAGATAAACACAAACTCTAAAAAGAATATAAAAAACTTTAAAAGAATTTATTAAAATAAATTTAGTTAATGAAGTGAGAACGATATATTTTTATTTAATTTTATATATGTCTTTTTTGGTAAATTTACATAATATGAAAATTATAATATAATTGCATTTTTAAAAGTCGATGTATATATAAAAACTGTGGATATAAGTAGTGGTACCCAAATTCAGTTTTAATCAATTAAAAATTGATAAAAAAAAAATTAACAAAGCTTTGCATGGGTGGAGCTTCATTCAATGCAGTGCAAGCAGAATTTGGGTCCGACAGAATATAATGCAGTCTGCCTTTAGTTAAAAAAATAAAAAAAAAGCAAGAAATTATTGCAATTTATGGCCCACGATCGAGCTAGCTTTACAAGCCATTCACACATGTAAGGGGGTGGGTGAATTTTTTTTTAAAATAATCACCCGCCCGCCCCACCCAGCTCGGCATGTGTTTGGCCTAAGCCCTATGAAATAATGGTTTGTATAGTCAGAATTATTCTATGGCCCAAAAGGGCTTAACTTACTCCTATAGAAACTATTCTGAAGCTTTTAGTTCCAGATTTGCAATAAATCTGTAAGATTTGCTATTTATGGGAGATTTTTTTTTTTTTTATAACCCAGGAACCCGTAGTCGCTACTGGCGACCAGTGCACACTAGGTAAACCTGGGGGCTGGCACGAGACCCACAACCACACCAGCCGGTTAAATCTTCTCCAAGGAGAAGGCGGATGTCTCAAGCGTGGGTTGAACCCTCGTCGAAGCCAAACCCAGTTTCCCAGGCCATGCCCTTTGCCAACTCGGCCACACGCTCTTGACATTTATGGGAGATTTTGATTGCATTGGAAGCACGTGGTAGTTTGTGTTAGTCGAATTCATTTCACACAGTTGTTTCTAATGCGTTTATATTATCAATTATGTTATAAGTACACCTATTTTTACATCATTTTTGACAGCCCTCACACATAACACAAGTGGGCCCCACGATTAAAATAATTGCAGAACCCACTCATGTGAGTGGGCTGTCAAAGTGAGTGTACAACAGGTGCTGTACACTCAGCTTAATTCTTATATTATCATTCATGTTACTGGATGTTACCACAGTGTATTAATGTATTAATTTCCACCCAGAAAGTTGGTGAATTTATCCGACCTTATGGACCACATTGTATAATTTACTTAAAAAGAGGTTAGGAATTTTGATGATAATGGGTACTCAAGTCTTTAATTCTTATTGTTGTTCCTAAATTTTGACTCCGAATAATACTCATTTCGGATTCTCTGGGAAATTTGAGTATGACATATTTTTCTTCTAGTCTAGGGGGGGAAAAAGCCTAGTTCCAACACGTTGTGGAATCACGACACGCTTTTCCTTTTTATGATGTCCAAACGTTTCACTAAAATTGACCTATAAATTAACTAAAATCAGGTCTCAAAAACTCAACGTTTAACCTTGATTAAATGACAATATTCCTGGTTCTGCTTGAAGGTTTGTCAAACAAGCACTAAATAAATTTTGAGTTGAAATTTTATAATTATAATTTTTAACAACAAAGTAGAAGACTAGATTTAACTACAACGTTTAGGTCTTGGTTTTCAAGGTTTCAGCAAATTCTTTATGTAAATTGATGTAGACATTTTATCATTTGACAACCGAGATGAGATGAATGAGAATTGAATGAATGTTTCTTCATTAATTACTTTAAAGTGGAGATAATAATAACTTCTCAATAAACTTAAACCAAGAAATTATGAAGTTCTCACGTTCTTCGTAGTTACAAAAGAATAAAACGAAAAAACAATTTTACTCAATAAAATCTAAATTATTTTCAAAATAAAATCAAGCCAAATTTGAAAGTTAATTAATTCATTAACTGAAACAAATATAAACCACTTATGCAATTTGATTGTTTTAAGTGTTGGAGAAATCGATGATAAATTGTGTATCATATGTACAATATATAGCAAATTGTCAACTAGAAGTAAAATATACGTGTAGCAAGAGTAAAACTTTTTATGTGGTGAATGCTTAGCTCATGTGGACCCTATCTACTCGACCTAATTGATTTTGACCATTTGATGCTTGATTTGATACCTTTCAAGGTTTTTTGGGTTAATGACATCTTGCACCTAAATTGGTAAATAGAGATGTTACTCGGGCCTCTAACATCTGTAAACACACTTTACACTAATTTAGAGGGTGTTTGATATCTATTTTTATGAAAAAATGAATTTTAGAATAGTAAATTGATGAAAAATGTGTAGATAAAAAATAAGAATTTTTTTTTGATTTATATGTAATATTATTTTAATGAAAAATGTGTGATTAAAAAGAAAACAAAGAAAAATGTATTTTGATAAAAATAAAAATCAAACGAGGCCTCAATATAAATGCCGTCTCTGTCTCTCTGATAACCCTGAACCTCTTGCAAGTAAGCTAAAATTATAGTGTCCAGGATGGACCTGGAAATGATAACATTATGCCCATGTTTGATGTAGCAAATTTATTTTTTTACTAGATTCTAATAAAATATTATAAAATAAGTGATTGAAAAATTAATGAGTTGTGAATTCCATGAAATATGTGATAGTAAATATGTTCTAAAAAAAAACGAATTTTAGAAAATAAGAATCAAATAGGAATTTAGAAAAACTAGCACTAAAGGCCCGTTGGATTTGTATTTTAGTTTTCAATTTTGAATTTAAAATTTATTTCCAACTTTCTTTTGAATGCCTATTTTAAAATTGTTAAAAATATCTTTGTTTTGTTATTGTGAAAAACTATTTCTCAAAACAAAAAACTAGAAAACAAATTTGGTTTGAAGTTTTTTTAATATTTTATGATATTTTATTCTATGAATTTTGGTTATTCAATAAAAATAGAACAACTTTGTGTTAATATATTGTCAAGTAGTCTATAAATTTTAAACTTGGTGAATCTTACAATATTTTTTCTTGTTACAAAAGCAAAATAAAAATAAATAATAAATTGAGTTCAAAATATATAAAAAAAAGTAAAAATTACTAACCTAAATTAAAAATATTTTTATCTGTGTTTACGTAAATAATATAGCTTCAACTATTTTTATTTTTTCAAAATTTAATTTTTAAAATTTTTAGGATTCAAAATTTTATTTTTAAGATTATATTAAAATAAAATATTATTTAAATATTTGTTTTTAATGTTTAGTATTTTCAAAATTTTCACTGAAAACCTCAAATTCTGAACACTCAAAATGTCAAAAATACATTTTAAATTTTATATTTATGCTTATTTTTGATATATGTATTTTTACAAATATTAGACCAAACACGTTTTCAGTGTTAAACAAAACTGAAAACAACTTGAAAACAACAAATTAAACGCACAATTGATCATTCATTTATAAACAATTAAATTATTCCCCATTATTAGGCGTTGGCAGAAAGCAGAAGGCAAAGTTGCATATCATTTGACCGTTATACAAATCGCCAAATTAAGATGAATCAGGACGAAAGCCAGAGCTCACGGCTGAATACATACCGTCCTTTCAGTTTGCTCAACCATCACGATCCATTAGTTTATGCAAAATCGTCTGCAGAAACAAACTCTATCAACAATTAATGGCAGATGCGTAAAAAATCCCAGAAAAATAAGTGTAGAATTATTATTGAAAAGAAACATTTTGATATTTACAAAACCCTGTCAAAAAGTAAGAATTAAAAGAGTGATACTCAGAGGACAATTGATGCTATAAATGATCATGACTTTGAAGAAACTAACCTTTTATTTGAAAATGTAGACATGAAGGGATGTTTTGTCAAAAAGAACTAACCGGACAAGAGGGATATGATTTGAGTCCTTGATATAATTCAGGCCGTGATATTAAAAGTTTTACTGGACGAAATTCAGCAGATTGCCCGTGCCCTCTGTTGTCCTCAAAGGAGATGAGTTCACGTTGCAAAAGATGCTCAAATGCCTGCAAGCAACTAATAAACTTCAAACTGAAATGAAGATCAGATCCTCCACTAATTAAATAGTTCAAATGGGAAATACCCGCAAGCATACGTTCCGTGCATAATAATTAGATGTTTGAAACGTATCGTGTATGCTCTTGTACTCTGAAAAGGATAAAAGTAAGTCATTTGCTACTATTGCACTACTCTGCGTAGGTCAAGGAGGATTCACACCTTTCATTATCGCATTAAAGTTGCGTAATTCCTGCTCTTTGGCCTCCAACCTTTTCATGCAAACCAAAATGTAAAGCTCTAGAATGGAGCAATCTGCATAAACAAGTTGAATTTGCACTTTACGCACTTAGATTCCATGAAAAACAAATTTTGGGTTGGAGTCGCAAAATAGATAGATAAATGTTCCAGTTTTTTAATCAAAAGCGAAACATAATCCAAACAGTATGGTAAAATTTGTTTCATTGAATATCAGAACATTTCACGCACGTGTGTGAAATGAACATGACCAATTACAGAGACAAAAAGAACGAACATGCATTTCCTCTATGAAGACAACAGAAGATCCCAGCATTTTTGCCTTTTGTTATGGTAAGTGGTTTTCACAATTCTCTATCGTCTTATCTCCTATAAATCCCAGGATAATATTTTGAAGGGAAAGGATCTTAAAAACGAATACAAGGTCACACCCACAGAGAGAGAGAGAGAGAGAGAGAGAGAGAGGGGGGGGGGGGGGGGGCAA